GCGCAGCCGTGTGCCGCAGAAGTGGACAGCAGCACGGCCATGGACACGTCGGAGCCCACCAAGGTGACGCTTTGCTGTCCCCGTCCGCCTGGGAAGGCCTGTCCCAGCCTCTCCCAATCCCAGCCTCCAAGAGTCCCTCTCTGTGCTCGGGTCCCTTGCTCTGGGCTGTCCGCATCCTTTCACACTCCAAACCTGCGCCTGATTTCAGTTTCCCAGGTCACCCTTTCCCTGGCAGAGCCTGTCCCGTGCAGAGCGGATGCTCTTCCCGACCCGTCTCCGTGTCCCCGCAGGAGGAAGACGACTACGACGTGATGCAGGACCCCGAGTTCCTGCAGAGCGTCCTGGAGAACCTGCCGGGGGTGGACCCCAACAACGAGGCCATCCGCAACGCCATGGGCTCGCTGGCCTCGCAGGCCTCCAAGGAGAGCAAGGACAAAAAGGAGGAGGAGAAGAAATGACGGCGCCGCCGCCGCGGCGTCGCGGGCCCCGCGCGGCCCTGGCTCCCATGTAGCCGTGAGCGCGGAGGGCGGGGAGCGAGGGGCAGGGCTGGGCGTTTGGGGGGGTAGCGGGTTAATAACGGGTTAATAACGGGTTAATAAAGACATTTAAGGAGGCTCTGGTGCCCCGTGGGGACCCCGGGGGAGCCGCGGGGTGTTTACATTGAGCCCCAGGGGCGGGCCGAGCCCGTGATGGGCAGCGCAGCCAGCCAATCAGCGGTGTGTTGTGCTCGTGGGTGTGGCGCGAGAGGTGTCTTGAGTGACGGGGGGAACAGCCACTCGTAAGGCTCCGAGGGAGGGGCATGGGTGGGCGCTCCGCCAATGGGGCGAGCCCGGACGTTCCCGCGCCAGCTGGGAGGTGGCACCGCCCTTTCGCTGAGTGACAGCCGAGCTGGCAAATAAGAGCTGGGGGTTGGCCGCTCCCGAGCGGTTTCAGCCAATTGGACACCGGAAGGGGCGTGATCTTACGATGACGGACGATTCTTTCGGGCAATAGGGATGCAGCAAGAGGGAGGTGCCCGGATGGACGCTACTCTAGGCCAATAGCTGCGGGAATCGCTCTTGAAGGACAGACTCATGTAGCCAATGGGGAACAGCAGTGGGCGGGCTGGAGTGATGAGGCCAGCAGCCAACCAATAAACATGGAGAGTGGTCTGTGGGTGTGGCCTCGCCAGGGCCAATGGGAATTGCGGCAGTGGAG